CGTCAGAACGCTACAGGCCCAAACGACGGGCGGCAACGAGGCGGCGACTTCGACAACGTAACCTCCAGACCGCCACACAGGCACATACCATGAGCGGCGATGAGGCAGCGACGAGGCGGCGACAGCGACAACGTAGCCACCAGACCGCCACATAGGCCCAGTTCCGCAGAAAAGAAGTAAGAACACATAAGTGTAAACACTGCTCGGGGAATACATGTATACGTACATATATACATATATACCTATTTACATGCGTATATCCAAATATATGCATATATACAGCTATACGTATCTACATGTACTCAAATATACATCTATATACAGATAGACACGTGTATGTATATATATATATATATATGTGTGTATCATACCTGCTTGAATCTGTACCGTTCGATTGTCGATTTGGACCTCTTGGGGGGGCCCCCCCGCCGGAGGAGACGTGGGCACCCTGGGAGGCGCTGCCCTTCTGCCTCCTGGGCGCCATCGGCGGCCTCGTCGGGGGCTCCTTCGTGCTCCTGAACGGCGCGGTGCAGAAGCGGAGGCTTCGGGCGCAGGCAGCAGCCGTGGGGCCCCTACGGCGATGGCGGCGGGGGCCGCGGCGACGACGGCGACGACGACGGGGGGAGGGGCAGGCAGGCAGGGAGGGCGAGGAGGAGGAGGAGGAGGAGGAGGAGGAGGAGGAGGAGGAGGAGGAGGAGGGGGAGGAGGAGAGGAGGAGAGAGAGGAGGAGGAGGAGGAGAGGGAGGAGGAGGAGGAGGAGGAGGAGGAGGAAAAGGATGAGGAGGAGAAGGAGGAAAAGGAGGAAAGGGAGGAGGGGGAGGAGGAGGAGGAGGAAGAGGAGGAGGAGGAGGAGGAGGATGATCGAGGAGGGGGAGGAAGGAAAGTAGGAGGAGGAGGGAAGAGGAAAAGGCGGAGGAGGAATATGGGGAGGAGTAGGGCACCCGCGGTAGGCAGAGGGGCGCCTCCACTGGTCCCTGCGGGCCGACGTGGACTCCGCGCTGCGGCGGGCATTCGGCCTGAGGGGCGTCGACACGCGGGTGCTGGAGGCCTTCTGTTCCCGAGAGGGGGCGATCGAACTTTGATCCGCGATTCTCGATCGATCCTCAAGCCTCGATCAAGCCCCGACCCTCGACCGAACTTAGATCCTGAATCTGCGAGGCCTTCTGCTCATGAGGGTTACCAGGGATCCGTATCGCCCCTCCCGCTTCCCCAGATCTCCGACAATACTGCGTTTTCAATCCCGCCAGGTTTATCGGGCCACGGGACCATCAAACATGGATCTATGACGACACTTTACCCCCGAGGGGTGGGGTGGGCGGTGGTCTTCCTGTTCCTCCCCCTCGAGGATCGAACTTCGAGGTTCGACGTTTCCTCACGTATTTCTACGCCTTTGGGAGGATTCTCGTCGCCACGGCTTGATCGGCATCTGAATTCTGGTCAGACCGCGGTCTGGGGGTCGACTTTTCACCCCCCAGCCCAGAAATGTTCGCGTTGTTAAGAATGCGCGAGGCGAGGTTGTTGGCAATCTTCGGCCTCCAGGTGCCCTCGTCAGCCTTGGGACCGTCAGAAAACGATTCGGGTGTCCCGCTTCGGCTGTGGCTCGAGTGGTGCAGCGCCCGGTCACGCACCGCAGTAACATCTTCGAGTCTAGACTCCGCTGCCCTGGCCCTCCCGAGGAGCAGGTTACGGCAGCCCATCCAGCATGGCCATCGGTAAGGAAAGAACGGTGACGTGAAGGGCCGGGCTTTGGCATCGCTCGGAGCTGTGCGCTCTTTTCTCGGCGTGGCCCCTCGAGGAGCACCTTGGATCATCTTGCGGAGCAAATATGCGCACGAAGCCGACCAGTGCACGGGGAGTGAACGCCCGAGCGATGGCCGGGAACGGGGCTTCCGAGATCTCTGGAGGTCCGCGCCTTCCTGCCCCTTCTGGGGGAGCTCCTCCCCCCCTGCCTCCTCCGCCCGAGCCGAGGGGGAGGGAGGGGCTCCTCCCCCCCCTCCTCGGGGAGCTCCTCGCCCCCCTCCTCGGGGATCTCCTCCCTCCCCCCCTCCTCGTGGAGCTCCTCCCCCCCCTCCGCGGGGAGGGGGGAGGGCGCCTCCCCCCACCTCCGCGGGGAGCTCCTCCCCCCCCCCCGCCTGCTCCGCCCGGGGAGGAGGGGGGAGCTCCGCTCCTCCATGGGGGCGGGGGGGCCTTCCCGGGGCCGGCCTGGCGAATGTGTTTGGCTCGAGCTGGGCTCCGCTTTGGCTCCGGCTCGACTCGGGTTCGACTCAGCTTCGGCTCCAGTTCGGCTCCAGCTCAGCTCAAGCTCGACTCAAGCTCGACTCAAGTCGACGGATCTTCGACACAGCATCGACGCATGAGTGAAGCGAGTGGCTACAGGAAGATCCCCAGAACGAGAACCTGGCTACTACCCCTCCCCCGCCTCGATGCCGATGTTGTCAGGGTCACGGGTCCCATGAGGGCAGTTGTTTTGTTTGCCAGTGTCGTTTTGCCGGTCTTGTTCGTCATCTCTCCCTCTCTCCCTCTCGATCTATCACGTTCACGTTTTTGTTTCTCTCTTCCTCTCTAGATATCTTTCTTTGTCTGTTCCCTAGCGTTTGTTGTTGGTGCTGTTTCTCTCTCTTTCTCTCTCTCTCTCTATCTCTCTCTCTCTCTCCCTTTCTCTTTCCCATGCGAGCTCCCATCAAACATGCAGGGCTTGACATCTGCGACAGGGCTCGCGAGTCGGCCGTCACCCCGTGTGGCTCTCCAGCCCTGCGCTGCCTAACTATCTCTGCCTGCCCCGCGCGCGGCACCGCCACCCCCGCTCCGGCCCGGCGGGCCCCCCTCGCGGGGGGGGGGGAGCAGCACAGAGGCCTCGACACCTTCGGAGGCGTCCCCCCGGGGGGCCTCCCAGGGCCCTCCGCGGGACCTCGGGGGCGGCCTCCCCGGAGGCGGGGGCCTCCGGCCCAGCGAAGGCATCTCTACACCACCACCGTGCCAGGCCAGGGCTATCCTGGGCACCAGGATGGTGTATAGGCCCTCCTGGCCTCGGCCAGGACGGCGTACACACCATCCCAGGGCCCAGGATGGCCCTGGCCTGGCACGGTGGTGGTGTGTAGATGTTTTCTGCGCATCCTGGAGGGGGAGGCCTCTGGAGGTCTCCTGGAGGAGGAGGGCCTTCTGGAGGAGGAGGAGGTCTCCCGGAGGCCTTCTGGGAGAGGTGCGTGCTCCAGAGGCCTCCTGGAGGAGGAGGAGGCCTCTGGAGCACGCGCCTCTTCTATCCGCAGGGGCTTTGCCCCCTGCCGGCGGCGGCCCCCTCTCTATATCAGAGCGGGCTACATCAGAGTCGCGTCGGTGCGCCTCGGCGCTGCCTTGGCGCATCTGGGAGCATCATGCCAGGCTGGGTTAGGAATCATCTGCGCATGCTGAGACGTTGGCGTTGTCCTAGTGGCGCCCGGCCCATCCCGCCACAGTGCCTGGGTTGTGGGTCTGAGATCTCCTGTGCACATGTTGGGGTGTCGTGGGGAGCCTCTCGGGGGCCTCTTGGGGAGGCGGTTTGGGGTCCTCTTGGGGTCCTCTTGGGGCTTCGTGGGGTACCTTTTGGGCCTCTTGGAGGCCTCTTGGGCGCGTCTTGGGCGCCTCTTGGCGCTTCTTGGGGCCTCTTGGCGGCCTCTAGGGGCCTCCTGGGGGCTTCTCGGCGCACAGCCATAGAATTTTTGGTTCGTGGCCCCCTGCTTGGGCCCCTCGTGGGGCCGTCTCGGGGCCCTCTTGGGCCGTCTTGATCGCTTCTTGGTCTTTGGGCGGCCTTGGGGGCTTCTTGAGCCGTCTTGTAGCGTCGAAAAAGCTGACAATACGAGAAGGCCAAAATCCTTTAATATTTTTTTTGTAACATCTACGATTTGGGCTTCTGAGGGCTTTTGGAGCGCTTTCGGGGCCTCTTTGGGCCCTCTGGGGCCGTGTTGGAACCATCTTCAGGCGCCTTGGAGCTCTCTTGGCTTCGGCAATACAGCGCGTGATTTGCAAATACGGGGTAATTAATTTACAAGGTGTTGTTGCCTCGGGAACGCACAAACTGTGCAATTTACGATGGTTGGTGGCTTCGGGGACGCGAATACGGTGTAATTTGCACGTGATTATGGCCTCGGGGGCGCGAGTCTCACATATCTTTACATGTCCCACGCCCCCCCATGAATGCGCAGAGAACGCGATCCGGGCGTTGTAAATTGGGCGCTTTGCGCCCCACCTCCCTCGGGCGGCCTTGAACAGTCGACAGTCGAGAGCAGAAAAAGCAGGACTGGAACACTGGAGACTCTTGAAGCTGCAACTGGCGCAGGGACTCGGCGGCCTCGCCCGGCAGCCCGGTGGCCCCCACGACGGGGGGCCGGCGGACTGTGCTCGTGTGGACGTCTTGGGGGTCCTCCTGCCGTGCCCCCGTGGCCACGGGTTTTGGCTAACCCCTCGGAAGGTCCTCGGGCGCTCGGGCGCCCGCGGTCCCCGTCCTCTGGGCGTCGTGGGGAGGCCGCGGGGGCCAGCTTCCTTCAGGAGGGAAAGAAACACACAGACACAATTTATCGCCGATTCCCCAGAAAATATGGGGAAATATGGGAAGTGGAGGGGAAGACAAAAACCCAGAAAATATGAGAATATATGGGGAATTATTTTATTTGTGTGTATGTATTTGTGTGTCCTTGGGCCCCTTCATTCCTGTCCCCGCGCTGGGAGGATCGTGGCCCTGGGCGCCTCACCGCCCCCCCCCCCGCCCTCCAGGCCGCGGGCCCCCTGGAGCTCCGAGAGGCTCTCGCCCCTCGCTTGCCAGGCGTTTGGGAGCTCCGGCAAACACGTCGATCACGCGGAGGCTGGGCCAGATCGGCCGTGTTCTACGGCCCATCGAGGTCGCCTCGAGTGAGCTTGGGTTTCGAGGTGTTGGTGATTGCTTCCCCTCACCCTCCGTAGTCAGTTTGGCTCTGGCGTCGTAGGCCCTGCCCGCAGGAGTCCGCTCTGCCGCTCTCACCACTGGGGCAATGAAGTCCGCGCAGGCGATCCTCCTCGTTGCAGTGGCGCTCGCAGGAGCCTCTGGCCAGTCGCCCATAGGAAAAGTCATCGATCTCCTGTCGAACCTGGAGTCGCAGATCCAGAAGGAGGGCGAGGAGTCTGCCAAGCTTAACAGCGAGAAGGAGGGGTGGTGCAAGGACACCGCCGTCAATCTTGGTTTTGAGATCAAGACGGGGTCCAGTGAGGTGGACGAGCTGAAGGCAGCGATCGGCAAGGAGGCTGCCACCATCAGCACCCTGTCCAGCAAAGTTGAAGACTTGGCCGCGACGATCGCTAAGAACGACAAGGACCTTGCGGCGGCCACCAAGATTCGTGGAGAAGAGGCTGTGGACTTCGCTGAAGAGGAAGAAGAGCTCACGGAAACTATCAGCGCACTGCAGAGGGCAATCAGCATCTTGCAGAGGGAAATGTCGAAGGCTGGCGGGGCTGCCTTTGTCCAGGTCAAGGGCGCGGCGTCTGTGATCCAGGCGTTGCAGGCGCTTGTGAAAGCCTCCGCATTCAGCGCCGCTGACGCCAACACCCTTAAAGCTTTCGTGCAAAGCAGCCAGGAGGCCGATGATCATGATGAGGAGCCGGGTGCTCCTGAGGCCGCCGCTTACAAGAGCAAGAGCGGTAACATTGTGGACGTGCTGGAGGACCTTCTGGACAAGGCCAACGAGCAGCTGGACGCCGCGCGCAAGAAGGAGACCTCGGCGAAGCACAACTTTGACATGCTCGCTCAGTCGCTGAAGGACGAGATCAAGTTTTCTACCAAAGACATGGACGCGGCCAAGAAGTCCTCTGCCGCCAGCGGCGAGGCCAAGTCCGAGGCCGAAGGGGCCTTGGCCGCCACGTCCGAGGACCTGGCGGGCGACGAGGCCGCCCTCGCGGAGCTGAAGAAGGACTGTGCCAGCCACGCTGACGACTACGCCGCGGAGGTGAAGAGCCGCGCCGAGGAGTTGAAGGCGGTGCAGGACGGGTGCCACCGAAGCATTGCTTTGGTTCGTCTCGTGGGCGGTGTTCGTCGTCGTCGTTCCTTGCTCGGTCTGCTTTCGTTCGGTTCGCGGGGCCCAGCCGTGGGCCGCCCGCGACCCTCGATGCGTGGCAGAGAGCGCCGTTCTCGGCACGTCCTCGGGCCGACCCCGCTGGAAACGTGCGATCGCGATGCGGCTGGGCAACACCGAGTAACAATTGTTAGCCAGGCCAGCGTAACCCCCACAAGCTGTGTCTCTGGCAGCGTATATTGCGCAATATGTGCGGTGTATGCGACGTGCTGCAAGATAAATGGTGTAACATGCAATCGATGCTGTGCAATCTATGTGGAGCAATACATGTAGCGCTGTCTATGTGTTGCACTCTATGTGGTGCAACATATGTTGTGAAACTATGTGGTGCCATCGACGTGGTGCAATGTGTGTGGTGCAATATGTGTGGTGCAATACATGTGGTGCAATCTACGTGATGCAATCGGCGTGGTGCAACCTATGCAGTACAATCTAAGTGGTGCAGCCCATGTTGTGCAATCTATGTGGTGCAATCTACTTCGTACAATCTAGGCGGCGACGGGGCTGCGACGAGGCGGCTACGGGGCGGCGACGGCGAGCACGGAGCCGCCACACCGCCACCCCGGCCAAGACCACGGGCGGTGACGAGGCGGCGACGGGGCGGCGACGGCGAGCACGGAGCCACCAGACCGCTACCCAGGCCCAGACGACGGGCGGCGATGAGGCGGCGACGGGGCGGCGACGGCGAGCACGGAGCCGTCAGACCGCCGCCCAGGCCAAGATGACGGGCGGCGACGAGGCGGCGACGGCGAGCATGGAGCCGCCAGACCGCCACCCAGGCCAAGTTCCTTATACCAGAAGTGATATTCACTAAGTGCAAGCACTGTTCGGGGAACAGCTGTATAAACATAAACTTTCAGAGCCCTGCGCGGATTTCTTGAATCTGCGCTGGAACGGCCTGGCGGCGCCTTTGGCGCCGCCCGAAGCGCGGTCCGCACGCCAGGGAGAGGGTTTAGCGCAGATCCAACAACTCCGAGTTGACCTCCGAACATTTGTGCTCATGCCGTTCGGTCTTCCTCTGATGCAGCTTTGCTTCGGTCGGCCCACGCCACAGGAGGCGAAGAAGGTGCTGTCGGACACGACTGGCGGCGCTGCGGGGGTCGCTTACGGGCTGAGCCAGACGGCTCCCTCCTTCCTGCAGCTTGGCCGCTCGCGCTCGGCGCTGCTCTCCGGGGCCGACCTGGCCAACTTCGAGGCGGCGCGCTTCGTCCGCGAGCTCGGTCACAAGTTCCACTCGCAGGCTCGGAGGCGGTAAAGCTACCGATGGCGCTTCCCTTGCCTCGTTACCGCCTTTTTCGGCCTCCTGGGAGGCCCTCTTCGCCACGGCCGGATTCGCCTCGGAGGCCTGATTCGAATGCACTCCGGGAGAGGTCCAGGGAGTAGCGACATCGGTATCTTGTGGCTCCACTCGCAGGCGCTTGCGCAGCTCGCGAAGCGCATGTCGTCGGCAATGCGCTTCAGCTCCGCCAACGGTGAGGACCCGCTCGCGGCTCGAGGCAGGAGGGTCTGAGAGGCTGGACGTATTTTCCACGTCGTTTGACCGCCGAAGGATGCAACGAGTTCGGCGAAGGAGTTTGGTGCATGGACGCTCCAGAGCCTCACAGGTTGGGAGGCTGGAGCGTCGATGCACCGAGCGCCTTGGCCGACCGTGCGGCGTGGCGTGCACCTCGAGCCCCTCCCGGGGGGAGGCGGGAGGGCATCCGCTGCACGGGTCAGGGGCGAGCTGAGGTGGAGGGGGACGATGCTTGGGATGATGCTTGGGGGCGGGGGGTCAGGATGAGGAGGAGGAGGACGACGGGGCGGCGGAGGAGGAGGAGGAGGAGGAGGAGGAGGAGGAGGAGGAGGAGGAGGAGGAGGAGGAGGAGCCTCGGGCCCAGAAACCCGCGGACCAGGACAAAGACCACGACCACCACGACGACCACCAACACCACGACGACGTCGACGACGACTACGATGACGGCGACGAAGGCGGCAATGCAACGACGACGACGACGTCGCTTCGTATGTTTTTTGGATGCTTCTGGAGGCCCTCGTCGCCGCGGCTGGCCGCACCTCGGAACATGGGTCAGGATGGACCGGGAGGCGATGGAGCCCAGCGCCTCTCCGGCACCCTCCCGGCTGCGCTGTCTGGAGCTCCAGGGCCTCGCCGGCCCTCGTCCCCGCCCCAGGGTCGACCCCCCCCCCCGAGGGACAGAAATACGTTGCATCCCTCCATGAGGGAAAACAAAAAGCGAGAGTGAGAGACATCCTACCCTGACACTCGATTATGATTGGCCGTGGCGGGTCGCCGAAGAGCGTCGGGGCCGGTAATTAAGCGGGTCCAGGTCCGTCCGGTTTGGTACCAGCCCGTTTTCATAAAGGAGGGTACTAAAGTGAGGGTGTCCACCGCCGAAAAAGTGCGGAAAAATTAGAAAGGTTTTTCCCTCAGATTCCTGCCACTACTCGCAGAGTGCCTACTCGCAAACGTCTGAAAACACATGTTTGCCGTGGTGTAATTTATCGTGCCAGGCCCGCGGCGGATCCAGTCCTTTTGCAAGCAGTTACTTTGCGAGTAGTGAAACGCGCTCGTCCATCCCCCGGAGGAAGAACATAAACTGTGCCGGGGGGAAGCAACAGAGGGTGTCTCCTACTTTTGTGCTCCCTCCAGCGACCTCCTGCTACGTGTGCCGTTTTTCTCGGCGAGGACCATCGAGGAGCATTCTGGATCATCTGGTACAGAAACGCATGCACGAAACCGAAAAATGCGCGGGAATGGATGCCCGAGCAGTGGCAGGCCCTCGGCTCCCCCACGCGGGGGTTCGTCGAGCCTTGGCTCGCCCTCTGCCTTCTCGCTGCTGTCCTCTGCCGGGCCTACGCCGCAGCTCGGCGCCCAGGTCCCAAACTCGCTGGGCGTCTGCTTCCCCAGCGGCGGACGACAGAGCAAAGACACCATCAGAGGGCGGCCTAGCTGGCTCGGTGTCCTGGAAAAAAGGGAATCAGCTGCCTCGCTTTCAGCGTCGGAGACGGCCCTGCTGGAACCAGCCTTGCCTTGAAACGAGCGAGCGGCATCCTGCAGGACGGTGGCCTCCGCAACGGCCTTCGAGGGAGCAGGCTGGTGAAGCCATGTGAAGCCCGTGGCACCGGTACCGGCGGAGCTCGTTGGCACTTGCGTTCCTGCGCCCTCGTTGGCTGCGCTACCCTCTGGCCGCATCCAACTGCCAGCTGCGCTCACCTCGGGGCGCATCCAGCTGTGGGCGGCCTCCTCACTCGCGCAGCTGGCTGCCCTCTTCCTTCCTCCTGCTTCCGCCTCTGCCTCCGACAGCCTCTTCCTCGTGGTGGGCCATCTCGACGGCCCGTTCGCTTCAACCCTCTCGGGGGGGGGGGGGCAGGGGGGGGGAAAGGGGCCCCGCCGCTGAAGCCGGGTGGAGGGGGACGAAGAAGAGGAGGGGGAGGAAGAAGAGGAGGGAGGGGGACGAAGAAGAGGAGGGAGGGGGACGAAGAAGAGGAGGAGGACGAAGAAGAGGAGGGGGGGGCGAAGAAGAGGAGGGAATGGGCGCCCGCTGCCCGAGGCAGGAGGGAGGCCAGGGGAGGCAGGAGGAGGAGGAGCGCCCGCTGCCCGGGGGAGGCGGGGCGGTAGGGATGGTCCAGGTAGTAGGGGGCCACATGCGAACCCTACCCCTACCCCCCACGATTTCTGAGGGCGAGGGTGGGGTTCACTTCGCTCGGGAGCTCCCGAGCGAAGTGAACCCCACCCTGCCCCTCGGAAATCGTGGGGGGTAGGGGTAGGGTTCGCATGTGGCCCCCTAGGTGGAGCAACTGCTGCACAAGACGGGAGGGCTGCACGGAAGGGAAGGCACCTGATGCAGAAGAGAGAGGGGAAGACAGCTACAGTGGGGGGGCGCGTGCCAAGAAGCCAGTTGGACTTTGCCAGGGTGTGCCCTGGGTTTCCTGGACTTCGATGGGCTCCCCATCAGATCTTGACGATTTTCGATCGACGCATGCGGATTTTCACTGAACAAATCGCGGATTTCAGGGCTGGGTTTCTTGCGGAGGTTTCTTGTGGCCGAGCCCCCACTCTACGTTACTATCACAGCCGGGTCATCTCGACGGCCCTGTTGTTCCACCGTTCCCCCCCCAGGACCCCTTCGCCAAGGTGAAGGCCCTCATCGTTGATTCTTAGGCTTACGCCACACCGCCGACCCCTTGGGGGCCTTTTTGGGGGCGGGCGGGCTGTATTCGGATTCTCTTAGGTCGTCTCGTAGACTCTTTCGGTGGCGTTTTTTGGACTTCATTCGAGAGCTGAAGGGGAAAGAGGGAAGAGGGGGCGAAAAAGAGGATGAACAAGAGCAGGAGAATACGACGCGGAAGACAAGGGCGGCGACGGACTGGCGCCGTCGTGCGAATCCTCTCGGGGGCCTGCGGGAGGGAGTTTGGATGCTTCTGGGGAGCTGTTTTGGGGCCTCTTGGGGCCTCTTTTGGACTTCTAGGGGGCCTCTTGGGCGCCTCTTGGGGCCTCTTGGGGGCCCCTTGGGGCCTCCTGGGTGCCTTTTGGGACGGAAAGCTAGAATTTTAGGTTCGTGGTCCCCGCCTGGAGCCTTTCTTAGGGGCCTCTTGGGGCCCTCTTGAGCTGTCTTGGGCCGTCTTGAGGCCCTCTTGGGCCGTCTTGGGGCTCACTCGGGGGCCTCTTGGGTCGTCCTGGGGCGTTCTTGGGGGACTCTTGCGCCGTCCTGGAGCGTCGGAAGCCGAGAAAAGCGAGAAGGCCAAGCACTTCGAGAAAACCAATGAAAAGCAATGATTTTGGCCTCTTGGGGCCCTCTTGGGAGGCCTCTTGGAAGCCTCTTCGGGCGTCTTGGCGGCATCTTGGGCCGTCTGAAAGCAATCTTCACCGTCTTCGAGCGATTTTTCGGCGACTCGGGGCCCTCTTAGACCGTCTTCAGAGCTTCTTGGGCGCCTCTTGGCTCGTTTTGGGCTCCCCAGCAGACCTTCTGGAACGGATGACCCCCCCCGGCCTGCGCCTGGGAACCCCCTCCAAATCGACCGGACCAGGCTCTCGGGGGAGGGGTTTGGGGAGGGGGAAGAATCTCACACGCCGATGATCCCCAAGGGGTCGGCGGATATGATCGAGAAGCTCCAGGCTGAGTCTGGGGCGGACGCCAAGCACAAAGAGTACTGCGACACGGAGATGTCCGACACGGCGGCCAAGCAGGATGAGAAGACCACATTGGTGGAGAAGCTGACCACGAAAATCAACCAGATGACCGCCAAGTCCGCGGCTCTGAAGGACAGCATTGCCACCCTGCAGAAGGAGCTCGCCGAGCTGGCGGTCTCGCAGGCGCAGATGGACAAGATGAGGGCGGCCGAGAACGAGCTCTTCCTCGAGCAGAAGAAGGAGCTCACGCTTGGGATCTCGGGCGTGCAGGCGGCGATGAAGACGCTCCGCGAGTACTACGGCGGCGAGGCCAAGGACCACGCGGCGGCGTCGGGCGCCGGCACCAGCATCCTGGGGCTCCTGGAAGTCTGCTTGTCCGATTTTACCAAGAGCCTCGCGGAGGCCACCTCAACGGAGGACAGCGCCGCGTCGGAATACTCGACGACTACCATGGAGAACAAGATCGAGAAGGCGGCCAAGGACCAGGACGTAAAGTATCAGATGAAGGAGGCCGCCGAGCTCGACAAGGCGGTGGTCGAGTCCACATCCGATCGGGCGTCGACGCAGGAGGAGCTGGACGCCGTCCTGGAGTACCTCTCGAAGCTCAAGGACATGTGCGTCGCGAAGCCCGAGACGTACGCCGAGCGCGCCGAGCGTCGAGCTGCAGAGATCTCGGGCTTGAAGCAAGCGCTCTCCATCCTCGAGGCATGCCAGCCACAACTGGGGGAGCTAGGTGCCTCACCCCCTCGGAGGGGGTCCCATCGGCGTCGGCACTCGTAGATCTGGGCCTCCCAGCTGGGGTCCCAGCAGATGGCGTCGGAGGATCGCGCTGCATTGTCGATGCATCGGCGATGCGGCTCGATGTGGGGCCCGATTTTCTGTACGCCAGCGTCTCCGATGCATCGCCGGCGTCGCCAATGCATCGCCGAGGCTTGGGCGATGTATCCTCGATGCCGCGCGATCCTCCGACCTCATCTGCTTGGACCCCATTTGGGGGGACCTCCAGTTGAAGAAGCAGCCGCAAAGCTGTCCGCGCGGACGTCTCGGATCGGTGTTAGGCCACCCTCCTTGGTGCGCGGAGCGCGCTGGTGGCGGCGCTGGCGCCGCCAGGGGAGCCCAGTGCCGACCCGAGAACTCTGCTCGGACCTCCAGCAAAACTATGCCTTATGCAGTTTGGTTGTGTGTGTGCTCCTCTGGGCACCCTTCTCGAGAGATTGTCGATACGAGGCGCCCCCCCAATGGTGGTGGGGGGGCGGTGGCAAGGAGCTTTGTGGGCCCCGGAAACGGCAGGGCCGTTTTTTCACCGTTTCCCCAAAAATGTCCCTTGAACATGGGAACGGCAAAAAACGGCAACTGGAAACGGCCAAAAAACGGCTCCAGGATTGGAGCTGGAGCCGGAACCGGTCAAAAAACGGCGACGGAACCGGTAAAAGAACGGCGTCGGAACCGGCAAAAAAACGGCAAAACGGAACCGGTAAAAAAATTGCCCTGTCGTTTCCAGGGCCCATTAAGGCAAGGAGCAAGGCTCCTCCAGTTGTGGCGTCCTGGCGAGGGCGAGGCCATGCTCCTCCAGCGCAGGGCGCTGAGGGGGCGCGCCTGAGCGGGGGCGCCGCGCCGGGGCGGCTACCGTGCCCCTCCTGCCTGCCTCTTCTCTCGTGGCCGAGGAGGGTCGAACGGCTCCTCCCATGCCTCCCTGGCCCTCCTCGATTCAGAGGCAATTCTGAGGGATATGAATCGGGTGCTGCTAGAAGTGCCCCTGCCCCAAGGTGCCCTCAGCTTTTCGCACCATTTCGGAGCCACGGGTGCCCTCTGGGCATCGTGAGGGGTGCTCTGGAGGCCGTCCGGGCCACTGCGAGAATCCTGGGGACACCTTGGGCCAGGGGTACCTCTAGCAACACCCGAATGAACTCAGGGGGGAGGCGGCATCGAGCCCCAATGGCCCATTCATCGCCGATGGGGGCCCGACAGTCCACCCCGCCCAGGAGCGGGCGGATTCGCTGTCGGGGGCCTGTCGCCGATCTATCGGCGATGTATCGCCGAATCCAGCTTGATGTTTTCGCCCCTTGAGCCGTTCCCCCCCTAACGTTTCCCGTCATCCATCGGGAAGGCGGATCAGGAGAGGAGGTCGAGCGGGACGAGGATGAGAGGGAGGATGATGAGGGCATGTTGGAAGATGGTAGGCTTCTCAGTGCAGGCGTCAGTTAGCGGGATCTTGTGTTCGTGGCCCACTTGGGGCTCGGTGGCTTCCAGCGTCCATGGAATTTGGGTTCCCCTCTTATCGAGAGGCCTACGCCGTTCCGCGCCTTGTAGAAGAGGAGATGTCCAGCCTCCGATTTCGTATGTGTTGTTTGCCGCGTCCCGTCGCGCTGCTTTCGTGTACGGGAGGTTCGCGTCGTGTCGACCAGCGGCGACCCCGCCGCTGGTGTTCAACGCTGAGCGCCGCCGGCGACCAACAATCGGTAGATGTTGAACGATCTGACGTTTCGGAAACGGCCGATCGTTCCAGGTGGAACGCTCCCCGCGGTGTCAGAAGCCGACGCCCGGGGCGACACGACACGAACCTGCCGCAGCTGTCTCTGGCTTGTCCGCTTTCTCCTCCGCGTCAGTTGCGGGGGCTTCTCATGGGCCTCTTCGAGGCCGTGCGGGCGGCCTCCTGGGAGCCGTCTCGGGCTCCTGGGCTGTATAATTTATCGGAGTCTCTCTCTTTCTCAGGGCTTCTCGGGGACATCCGGGCAGCATCTTGAGGGCATGTTGGGCGTCTTAGGGGTCCATCTTTCGGGGGATGGCGCCCGGAGCCCCCGCGAATTGCCCCCCCCCCCCCCCCCCCCCCCCCCCCCCCCCCTCTCTTTTGGGCCGCTCGTGGCCGCTCTGGGGGCCCTCTTGTGAGAGCCGTTTTGGTTGTCTTGGGGGTCCCTTGGGCAGTCTTGCGGCCCTCTTGGGCCATCTTCTGGCCCTCTCCGGGGCCTCGTCGGCCGTCTTTGGCCAATCTGAAGGGCTTCGCGAGCCGTCTCGGGAATCACCCCACAATGGCGAGAACGCGACACTCATTTCTTGAGTGAGAGAGCTGAGTGATGCCTTTCTCAAGCAGTCTTATGGACCTTTCTGGGCCCTCTGTGGGCGTCTTTCAGGCCTCGTGGGCCGCCTTGAAGCCATCTTGGGTGTTCTGGAGGCATCTCCGGCGCGATGGAGTCTTTCCTTGAGCCATTTCAAAGAGGGCGCCTTGAAGGCCGCGGTGGGCGGATATTGCAGGCTCCGAGAGTCGGGGAGGCACGCTGGGGAAATCGTGGATCCCCCCCCCGCCGACGAGATGTTCGATCCCAGGGGATGGGGGAAGGGGAAGGGAGGGGACAGCCCAATTCGGGGGTGGACAGACCTCCTGCCCTGACACGTCGATAAGTGAATTGTCCTTTTTCGGTTCTCGAGAGGGCGCCGCGGCCGTTGTTTTTCAGGCTTGCGCCCGCCAGGTTTGGGCCCGAGGTCGTTTTCACTAAACCACGTTTTACTAAAGGGAGGTCTGTCCATCCCCGACCAATGTCTCACGCGCCTTTGTCGCCCCTGGCAGGCGGGGGTCGGCGGCGCTGCCTTGCGGTGATGAGGACGCGCGAAGTGTGCGGGGAAGTTCGTCGTCGTCGTCGTCCTCCTCCTCCTCCTCCGCCTCCTCCTCCTCCTCTTCCTCCACGTCCTCTCGCCGCTTCTCGGAGGCGAAGGACGAAGCACCGCTTCGGGCCCCCCCCCTCCCGCAGCCAGTCCGCGCCGCACTGGCGAGCGGGCGAGGGAGAGCCGGTGGCCGTGATGACTGGGTATGGCTTGGATCGGAGGCGAGAGTCGGCGGCGGGAGGGGGGAAGCGAGACGGGGACGGGCCTCCTCGGAAGGCGGCGGGGCGGCGGGGCAGGGGGGAAGCGATGCGGGCGGGCAGGCCCTCTGAGAGGGCGGCGGCGCCTCGGAGACGGCGTCGCAAGCTTCTGAGCCTTCTGAGGAGGCCTGCCTCCTCTGTCTTCCCCCCCGAGGGGCGCGCCGCTCCCCCCACCTGTTCCCCCCCCTCTCCTCTCCCTTCTTCCTGCCCAGGCTCCTGCCTCCCTTGGCTCGTCCTGCTGCTGCCACGACCCGCCGGAAGGATGAGTCGAAGCGTCCACGTACGTGAATAGAAGGCAGACGTGCTCATTGGGAGCTGCGAGGGCTCGCTGCGAGGCGGACCGCACCAGCGAAAGCGCTGTAGGGGTGAAGAAAGGACATGCGTACACAATCTGGCCGCGGCCCCCTGTCACCTCCTCCCCCCGGAGCCCGGCAGGAGCATCCTCAGGGACCAGCAGCGCACTGGCCAGGACGCAGCTGAGCTCAGCCAGGTACTGCTTTCAAGCCACAGCCCGGCACGACCCCCTCACGTGACTGAGCTCGGCCGGGTATTGCTTTCAAGACACAGCGCGGTACGCCCACTGGCCCTCCCCCTTCGCTGGCGTGAGACATATCCATATCCGTGGGCTCGCGGGCTGGGCTCCTGGTCCGCGACTCCATGCGCACGTGGAGCTTTTTCTGCGGACGCCCCGCGCGGAACGTATCCACGCGACGGCGCATCCACGGGATCGCGCCCCGGGATCCAGACCGCGAGGGCGTGGGCATGGACATGTCCGCCGCTCGTGACCCACGGCCGCCACGTGCCCACGCTGGATGCTGACGCCCTCCGCCTCTCTTCGCCAGCGCCAGGCAGGCCTCTTCGAGGAGGGGGCTCGCAGGTGGGGCCCCGGGCCCCGAGGGGCGGGGCCTCAGGACGGGAGGGGGCTGAGCTTCCGCTGCTCGGGGCCCCCATCCCCTCAGGACTCCGTGTCTCGGGGCTCCGCCCCCTTGAAGTGCTGGCCCAGAAGCAGGACGCCGAATGGGCCTCAAATGCGAGGGGCGCGCGCCTGGGGGGGGGGCGGGGGCAGCGAGGGCTGCGGAAAAGGAGCCCTCCAGGGCCCCCAAAGGGGCCCTCTAGGGCCCCAAAGGGGGCCCCTTTGGCCCGAGAAGGGTACCTGTTTTCCCCCCCATGTATCGCCGCCCCCCCCATTAGTTCGCGCCCAGAAATGGCCGCTGCCAGGCAGGTGTTGACACGATGCGTACGACGCCCGCCGCGCCGCACGGGCGGCGACCCGCGCAGACTCGGGGGACCTCCCGCCGGAGAGGCGGCGCCTCTCCTCCACGGCCCCCCCCGGGGTGCTCCGCGGCGGCATGCACTCGCCCTCGCAGCAGCGCGAGCGACGAGGAAGCGAGCGGTCGTCCTCTGGAGATCGCTGCCGGCGGCAACCTGGCGCCGCTCGGCGGCGGTCGCCCCTCGTGCGGCGGGCTCGCGCGGTGTCGTCGCGGCGGCGACCCCGCCGCGGGCGCTCGCGGCGGAGCGCCGCCAGCGGCCCAGGATCGGCCAACGGGGGACGACTGGGCGATCGGAGGGCCGCCGATCGTGCGAGGGCGCACGGTCCACGCGGGGCCAAAAGCCAATGATGGGCCCATTTGCCGCCACCATTGCCATAGGTAGGAGAGGGAGGAGGAGAAGGAGGAGGAGGAGGAGGAGGAGGGAGGAGGAGGAGGAGGAGGAGGAGGAGGGAGGAGGAGAGGAGGAGGAGGAGGAGGCGGAGGAGGCGGAGGAGGAGGAGGAGAGGAAGGAGGAGGAGGAGGAGGAGGAGGAGGAGGAGAACTGCCTCATGCTCCCTTCTCCCCCGTTCTACACATGGCAGTGGTGGTGGAACATGTGCCCGTCAACAAGTGCCGGGGTCGTCACGACACGGGCCTGCCCGGACCCTCCACAGCAGCGCTCGGGGCCGAGTGGGCGGGCCTCGGCCCCGCCCGCACCTCGCGCCGGGGCGAGGCCCGGGAGCAGCGGTGTGTTTTCCAATGGCCGATGGGCGGCTCCTTCCCAAAGTCGCCCTTCAGCCCGATCATCGGCAGCGTCCAGAGGCAGAACGCCAGCAGAGGGCGGGGCAGGGGGCTGGCGACGCTCGGCTCTTGCGCCCAGCGCCGTGGATCTACTCAGCCGCGCCGCTGCCCCGAGAGGAGGTGAGGTCGCGCGACCAAACCTGCGTGCCTCTGGGCACCCGAGTGGGGACCGCCTCCTCCCTGGGCCCAGTCGAGGCCCACTCAGAGGCCGCGGCAGGCGACGCGACAGGCAAGGCGGCGGGGGGCGGTCGGGAGCCGCGGCACGCGACTCCTGAAGGCAGGAAGCGCCGCTCTCTTGTTGTTCGGTTGAGGCTCGCCCCCCGCAGGCTCTTGCCGTCTGGCCTTCATCGGCCCTCTGACCTCTGGAGCCTCCTCTGCCGACGTGTAATATTCCTCCTCTTATGCGGCTTCCCCCTCCTCTTGCTCGTCCTGCTGCTGCTCTTGTTTCTCCTTCTTCTCTCCCACTCACCCTCCCCTTCGATAGAACGGGCTACGCCTGCCGTGCAGACAGTACAACGGCACCGCAGAAAGTCTGGTGTTTGTTTTGTTTTACCAGCTGCCCACCGTCATACGTAGTACCATTGTCATTTCAATCGTCAGCATCATCACCATCATCATGATCACCACCATCACCATCACCACCATATTCATCATCATCACCATCATCATCATCATCATCAGCATCAGCATCAGCA